AGTTTCACAGAGAAAATGCTGCTTTTCTTATGTACTTCTTTGTGTGCCTTTTAAAAAGCATGGAAATTTTCATTGTAATTTTCATAACATTCCAATCACACTTGCAATTTACTAACTTAGGTGTATTTCCTAGTGTTATGATTTCCAAATGCTATTTGCTCCTTTATTAGTGATTTCATTCAATGAGTACTGTTAAGGGAATTTTGTCAAAGTTTTTATGTCTTCCTGTGCCTTTACCCTCATAAAATGCAGATATGTAAGTGCTTGGTTCAACAAAAACTGATACAATAAGAATCTTACTTCTTTATTCTCAATGCTAGGGTATTGGGGCAAGTTGCCTTTTGCCAAGGAACAAACTTAATTTTTTTTAAGAACAGTGGGATTTTTTTTCATTGTTCATTAAATTTTGAAAACAATCTTTCTTAAAAAGTTAGGATTTTAGTAACAGTTTTATGTTTTAATGTGCTTGAAATTGTATCACTAATTTTGAACAATTGTGGTTGGAAGATGTTCTGGTGGATGAAGAAAAAGAGAATTGGAGGTAGTCTTAAGCTACTTCAATCTATAATAAAATATCTTAAAAATCACTGCTGTGTGTTATAACGCTGGAGATAGCATAAGATAACTCAGACTCTGATTATTTGTAATATCTTTCTAATCAGCAACACTTTCTACATTTCCTAGCAAATGAAAGTTATTTCTGGCCCAGAATTATTTACGGTGGTTTTCTATTCTATACGAAGAAGTTGTGACCTTTCATTGGATTCTCTATATATTGAAATATGTAGTTTTAAAAATGGAATGGGAGAACAGGAAAACCTTTCATCTAAGGGTCCAGCATGTGACTAGCAAGTGTGCCTCAATGATTTGATAAGATTACTGATAATGGGAAATGTAATTTACGTTGCAGCAAAACTATGAATTTCTGAATATTCTGCAAAAATTCTGTGAATTCTGCTAACAGAAATTTAAAACCCAGGGAAGCAGATTCCATCTTGTTTGACTTGAGTGGATGACTTGATTTAATACATGGTTGTATTCACACATCCATAGAAGACTGATCGCACAATATGTTTCAGCAACTCTTCTACCAGGTTTCCAAGTAAAGTTTGTAAACTGAAGCAAAGTGTTTTGCAGGCAAATCAGCATAACTTAGCTCTGAGCGAGACAGTGTGCAGTTTTAGCTAATACTTCTTTTTCACCTTTAGGTATAGTGTAGTTGTAGCAGTTTAGAGCTTTCATTTACTTTCTCAAAATATATATTTAACTGTTTTTAAAAAAACTGTTTTTTTAAAAAAATTACCTGATTCAGCAGATCATCCATTTTTAGGCTTTAGAACAGGGGTGTCAAACTCCTGGCCTGTGGGGCGGACGCATCACATGCTGGCCCTGGCAGGGTTTAGTGAAGGGGGAAAAAAAAGTCCTGATATGTCATGTGACGACATGAGTTTGACACCTGTGCTTTAGAATGATAACATTGTGACAACAAGAATCCATTTGAAGAAATAGTTGAATTTTTCAGAAGTTATTTGCAGCATAATCCATTTTCCTCAAAGGGTCCCGCAGCCGAGTAACCAAACTAAAGAGAAAGAACCTACCTTGCCTGAATTATACTGACTTAATAAATGTATAGTGCAGTGAGATTCCATGTACTTTATAGTTAGTCCAGCTGGAATTGTTCTTTTGAATAGGCAGGGACCCAAGTCATCAGTCATGGGATTCGTTAAATATCAGGTAATGCAGCCATGCACATCTTGTAACATCCCTTTTCTTTTTCTTGGCATGGGGATATTTACAGAGTACCCGATGGCAGCACTTCAATATGCGCTGTTCACATCAGCTGGTAAAGCAACAGGCTAGTTTCACTGCTGTCTTCTGCTCTAGAATGATTGGCGCACAGGTCACACCTGAGCTAGTTCGATGTTAGAGTATCCTTTCTTTTTCAACAACTTTTATACTTTCACATTGTGCCACTTTGAACCAGAAAAATCCTTTTAATTCTAGTAAGTCAGTGTGCAGTAATAAATATAATACCTTGTCCCTGAGCTTGCTAATCCTAAATCTTACTTTCTGCAAGGATTTAAGAGTTTGCACGCTCACCTCAATTTCTCAATTTCAATTCAGTCTTTATTACAGTCACGGACCAACCCAGCAACTTCTCAATAAACTGGCAAGTCTGCAATTCATAAAAGTGCACTTTGAACTACTACAGTCATATTAGACTGCTGGTCTTTGAATTGGCTCTGGGACCATTCTGGAATAAGGATTTTATGGTGAAAGTGAGCTAACAATACCGGGTTTCTTCAGTGCATTTGCAGCTTTTGGCAATGTGAATATAGTGGAGTGCCTAAGGGTGAATCATGAAAGTACAAGAAAGATCATCTGGATGTGGAAAAATATTTGTAGCAATTGCCAATGTGGCAACTGAGAAAAGTTACAGGTTGATTTGCCGGGTTTCAAATCAACTAATATTAATTTAGAAATGGTAACTGACTAACCCAAGACTTCCCAAATAATATTGTAAAGTACTTTGTGACTTGAAGAGTTTCTGTTTTGTGGCCAAAATGCTAACAACAGTTCTGCACAAAGACAATTCTACCAATTTCTTCTAGGCACCCTGGAAAAACAATGCCCTTCATCTAAGCAAAATTAAAATCCACCTGCCCCGAATGTAACACCTACCAATGTGTTTTTCCAAGTTTCTCATGCTCACCAATAACACGTCTCCAGCTAACAAACTTTCTGCTTCAGGGCTCTTTGGTTTTAGAGCTCTTTGTGACATCTTGAAATCTGAAAAAAGTCACTGCCCATCAGAGACCTGTTACCTTCTACAGTGATGGAAGAGGTAGAAGCTTTGCTCCCAGATTCTGAGATCAGCAGGCGAGTGTGTATTTTGAATCCTGTGCTATGGCATCTTTCACCCAGCTTAAGAGATGCACTCGCCCATTGGACAGCACGTAGGTTTGCTCATTCACACAGTTCACCATTTTTTGCCGATTTTTTTTCCATACAAAATGTGCACCTCTGGATCCTGTGGAAAAGTGGTCAGTCATACAAATAGGACAAGTGCAAACTCAAAAGACATTACAAATCTAATAATATATTTTTGCATCTTCTAGAAATCCTGAGATCTTCCCATCAAAGTCTAGAGAAAAATGGGTAAAAGAAACAATATTTCCCATATATTTTGATGATTAACTGAATGTCTAATGGAAATGCCCTTGCCCACCTTCACCCTTCTGCATTCATTATCTTCTAGATTTAGAATAGAATAACAGAGTTGGAAGGGACCTTGGAGGACTTCTAGTCCAACCCCCTGCTCAGGCAGGAAACCCTATACCATTTCAGAATAAATGGTTGTCCAGTCTCCTCTTAAAAACTTCCAGTGTTGGAGCATTTACAACTTCTGGAGGCAAGTTGCTCCACTGATTAATTGTTCTGTCAGAAAATGTCTCTTTAGTTCTAAGTTGCTTCTCTCTTTGATTAGTTTCCACCCATTGCTGCTTGTTCTACCCTCAGGTGCTTTGGAGAATAGCTTGACTGCCTCTTCTTTGTGGCAGCCTCTGAGATATCGGAACACTGCTATCATATTCCCCTAGTCCTTTTTGTAAAACTAGACATATCCCGTTCCAGCAACCATTAGTCAGGGGTGGCATTCTACCAGTTCACACCTATTCGCTAGAACCGGTTAACATTCTAAGCAATTTGGAGAACCAGTTAAAAGAAATTACTGGCCTAATCCTATAAGGAAGGCAGGAAGGAAACATTCTGGTGTTGCTTACAGAAACTGCTTTTTCATTAACCCTTAATACATTCTTGGCAGGACTAGACTTCCTGTCTCAGAAACTTCTCTGGAGTTTTATTCCCCTCCTTTGCTGGTACTTTGCTTGTGTGGAGTGAACATTCAAAGTTACAGTGGCACTGAAAAAAAGTGACTTAGGACCATTTTTCACACTTACGACTGTTGCAGCATCCCCACAGTCATGAGAGTCCAGGAGAGGAGATGTGTGCCTCGATGTGAGTGATATTGAGTTGGCCACACCCAGCCAATAACATGACCACCAAGCCACGTCTACCCAGTCACATGACCAGCAAGCCACACCCACCA